CTACTGCCTGGGCAGTTAGGGAGGAAGGGATTAACATAAGGAGGACTGTGTTCTCCTTTACTAAAGAGGCATTTTTGTGTGCATGCCAGACTAGGAGCTCTGTGGGGCCTGGTGGTAAGAAACTGCCTTGGAAACCAAAAGGCACATGGTTCAAATGCCCCAGCTGCTCTGTGGGAGAAGGAAGGACAATCTTCTTCCATGCAATTAACAGCCTCTGAAAATGCACTGGAGGGTCAGCTACGGGTCAAGTCTGACTCAGTGGTACTTGACAACATAGTTACAAAAGATGCTTGGGTTAGCACTGTTTATAGGGAGTTGCACTCTTAATCCAAACATGGCTCCTGGTTGATAGTTCAAATCCACCAGTGTACCCATAGGAAATAGATGGACCCACTGAAACCCCACTCTGTGTGTGTGTGTGTATCTCTATGTATATATGGAACTTTGGTAGCTTAGAGGGTAAGTGTTTGCACTGTCAGCCCAAAGGCTTCAGTCTGAAATCACTAGCTCTTCCATGGAAGAGAGATGACCATTCCCCCCCGCCCCAATTTGCTTTATAGTCTTGCAAATTGGAAGTAAAGACAATTCTACTTTGTCTTATAGGGTTGTTGTGAGTCAGAATTTTTAAAAATGGCATTAGGGTGGTGATCTCTCTCTCTCTCAAACTCACATATTTCTGTAGAAGACATGAAGACTCCCACAGCATGACACGGCTTTGCAGTCATCACAACAATTTTTGTTTTACTGTAACAGGCAGGTTAGAGAAGAGGAGATAGGTTTCTGCAACCCTGGGCTGAAAAAGATATCCCAGTGCTGATGAAAGCTTCATTTTTCTTCCCTGTCTTTTTAGGTCCAATCGTTGACAATGTTCCATTTTCATGGTTAGAATAGAAGACAATGCTCAAATGTGGCCAGCAAAATTCCCTTTTCTATAAATCCACCCAACTGGAATGTAGAGAGATTGGCATATGAGCCTCGTCATTTAGTAAATTCAAGGTGCTGTGATTGTTTGGTATGTACGTATGTTATGCATGGTTCATCATGTGCTTGACCTTTGAGCGCCTGCATCACTATAAAAAGTTGCTTTCCTCCTCTGGCAGACAGATAATTTTCATAAATGCAGAAAGAGAATTATTTGTGAAATCACTCAACTGTGTAGGAGACAAGAGACAGCTAATTTCTCTCTCATTTTGACTTGATTATGAATTAATCAACTGAAAACTGTATTAGCTCAGTTCTATGTAGGAGAGGAGACAGATCATGGCAACTTCAAATTGAAAGATCCTGTCACCAGCTCCTGAGAACCCTCTCCTTAAGAGGTCCATACAATACAAGGTTCGCCCATCTGTAAGTCATGGATTTGACTCTTCTGTCTCAAAATCATAACCTTGCTAGAGTGCTGGAACCTAAAAATCATGAGACTGTGAATGAGGAAGCATAAAATATTGACCACTTAATATTATATCGATAATGAAAAATCAATAGCAAAGAGCAAATTAAATTTGGTTCTATCTGTATTTCAAACACATACATGATGTTCTTGCATGTACAGCATACCTATAGACAGCAGAGCTAATCCTTGTCCAGTCTTGTGTCCGCCTCAAAATCTCTGCCATGCTCAAGGTCATTGCTATGGCCACTACGTCAATCCATCTTTTTGACGGCCTCGCCCTCTTTCTCTGACCCTCCACCTTTCAGAAGAAGATGTCCTTTTCTAGAGACTGGTTCTTTCCAACAATAAGCGTGAATCATGCATATGTATGTACAGATACACAAACATATGTAAATATATGTTGTTGTTATTGTTGTAGTTGATGTTGATTGCCGTCAAGTCGAGTATGACTCATAGTGACCCTATGAACAAATGGCCTGAAGCCCCTCTACAACATTTATCAAAATTCATAGTGTTTCCAGAGGCATGTTATTTAGGAAGTGGATGCCACTATAGCATTTTGAAATTATACAACAAATTTTTGTATATGAATTTTTGCTGCTTGTGTAGCTTGCTCTATTTATAGGAAATTGGTAGCAGGTATTAAGAATTAAACTATCACAGTTTAATTTTTTTCGCATGTCTTAATTATATCTACACATAAAAAAGAGTCAAAATGTGTTTGCTAGATTCACATTAACTATGAAAATCAAGGTGCCAGATAGTAGTACTTTACGGAGCAAGATTCATAAATTTCTGATCTAGGGAAAGAGAGACGGAGTACAATTTTACATATCTCTCCCAAAGTCCTAAGGGTTCATGATTTATTCTGTGGCGGAGATGTTGAATATTTGGGTCTTAAATTTAAAGTCTCAGTGAACATATGTCCTAGTTTTCCTCAGTTTTGGTTTATGGCTGTTTCTAGGCATAAATATAAATAGCTATTCCTTTCACTTTAAAAAATGTCCCAGTAGGAACAATAAATTACAAAGTCACTGTTTGCAAAATAAATAAATACACAATTTAAAATTAACCATTGTGAGACAAAGAGTATTCATTCTATCCCAAACCATTTCACACTCGTGACATCTTCTTTCTGCAGTTATTACACATACTCAGCCCCACCCACCCAGACACACACATAAGGAAAAGTTTTAATTTCCATTTTATAGTCTTAAAAATTATTTTACTATAGGGTTTATGGACATGTGTAAGGTGACCAGTGGAGTGGACCGAGGTTTGTATAGTATATAACTTATTGTTAAGTACCATCCAGTTGATCCTGATTCATAACAGCCTTATGTATAAGAGATAGAAATATGCATTGATCTTATGCCATCTTCACAATCTCCTGTCTTTAGCCCACTCACTGTTGAAGTCACTGTGTCAATTCATCTCACTGAGAGTCTTTCTCTCTTTCTGTGACCCACCAACTTTTCAAGCATGATTCTCTTTTCTAAAGCTTGGCCCCTCCTGTTAGCATGCTTAACTTCTTACTTTCCGCTAATTCCAAAAATTAGAGAATACAAATGAAAGTTAGTATCAAATTTACACATGGAAGACCCAAAGTTTACTCTTCAGAAATACTAAAAATACAATACGAAATAGCACTATTCTATTCATCCAACTCAGACTTAAGTAATGGCTTTGATAGGTCAGCCCTAGAACAGACAAATCTGGAAATGATGCAGGCATTTCCTAGAAGCTCAGAATTTTTGGTAGGGCAAAACTTTCCTTCATAGTGGATTTTAAAATAGAAGGTATTTTAGATGATAAAAATAATGAGTGACATCTATTAACTCACAATCAAAAAGCCTAGAAAATCACCTACATATAGACTTCCAGCTATTTGGGATGGCTGAAGAGGATTTCATTTCTGACATATTCATATGACTTCCATTAAAAAGAAATCTTGGCAGGAACAAAAATCTAGAGGAACCAAGATAATGAACTAAAGTTCCCAATTAGGGGTGACTAATAAATGAACACTCCATTACTGAAAAGAAAGATCATATTTCTGCCTCTTTAGTGTTTATGACAAATGGAAGCAGATTAATGAATGATATTTAAATAATAACCTTCTCGTTGATTGATCTCTTCAAGTATCACCAAAGAACTAAGTATCATTATGCCAAATGGTAAGACCACACTATTTTTAACAAGAGCCGAAGGATGCTATTTTATTTTATAAAGGACAGGACCTCCTTTAAACAGAATACGACAGATAATCTCAATAGATGAATGGAGTTCTACTCTGGTGGCCTAGAGGTAAGAAGCTGTGCTGCAATCCTGAAGGCATGCCGTTCGAATCCATCAGCTGCTTTGGGGGAGAAAGATGGGCAGTCTCTTCCCATGCAATTCACTGCCTCTGAAAACCCACTGGAAGATGAGCTATATGTAGACTCTGACTCAACAAGACACAAAATCAACAGTAATTGACACAACAACAACAGCAACTGTATAGATGGAGCTTTGGTGGCCAGGTGGGTAAGAAGCTGCATTGCTAATTCAAAGGTAGGAGATTTGAATTGACCAGCTTCTCTGAGGAAGATGGGAAATTTCCTCTCATGTGATTTACAGCCTCTGAAAACCTTTAAGACAATTCTTTGGCATTCCCAGAGAGAATGGAGGCACTAAGCTAATGGACTGTCAGCTATGACCCAATTCTGATATGACAGCACCTAACAACAAATTAAGTATAGTTTTTTAAATAGATAGAAATCCAAACACATGCCTATAGCAATACTAGAAGTTAAACCAAGACAATGTATGTATTTGGGTATTCATTCTAAGTCAACAAAAAAATGAGATCTCCTTTCACCTGAGTCAAAAGAAACACTTAAAATCTTTGCTAAAGATACTACAGTTGAGGAAACAAAATTTATCCCCCTAAGATCCCAGAGACAACACCCTTGTTGTTTTTAATTATCTCTGACCTTTTTATGCAATAGAAAATAGGGGAAATAGTTCATCCAAACTTTGCCCTCAAAGTATAATGAAATAAGTTGAATGTGCTTTGTGAGTGAGAGATTAGACAATAAAATCAGTTCATATTATTGCCAAAGTAATACTGATAAGGACTGTCCTTCAAGAAGGATTCTCTGATCTAATTGCTATTGTCAAAGTAGGAATGAGCTAAAAACAAATAACTCTAATGTGTACCCGCAAAGCAGGCAAAATTAGACTAGGCTTTCCCTAAAGGCTTGGTAAACATTCAATTAAAACTTTACAACTGCAAAGTGCAAGCCAGCTCCTTCTTTATCAGATATCTCAGAGTTCCTGGAGTTTTCACAGGGGTTCAATCCTACTCTTCATTTGGTAAAGGTAAGATGATGGAAGTATTCCCTGGGATAAAATTAATTTCCACATTAATAATTTTCTTATCTATTGTTTCAGTATTGGAAAGGTTGAAGTGATGTAATTACCATGCCATTAGGCTGATAAGCTGGATTTCAACTGCTCATAGATGAATAAAAAAAATTAATGCTATTTTAAGCCATTATAACGAATTCACAATTGTATTTTCTAATGTATGCTTAACCCTGTCTCACACAGCTGATGTATTTACCTTCATTTTTCTTGATGGTGAAATTTGGATTGTTGACCATTTCTGGAAGAAGACTGTATAGGAAATAATGTCCATTTTTAGGATCATCTCTGTCCATGGCACTCACTGTTTGAATGACCTGTAACATAAAACCTGACATTAGCACTTCAGTGACATCCAAGAGCTTACGCTGTCTTTAAAAAGCTAAGTGATGTTCCTTTTGTGGTCCAGTATTTTGGCCTAAGGATACTTTTTTTTTTCAGCTTTCTAAATTATCCTGGATGGTCTGTGCCAAGGACAAGGAGAGACATTCATCACTTTAAAACCCCAGCCTTGATAAATTGATGAAAATGAAGATCATTACCTTTATGCCCATTTAAGTGTCTGTGGCTTGGAATAGCAATGTTAAGTGAATTTGAAAATTCCGCTGAGAAAGGATAGGTTTCTGGCCAAGTCTGGGCGGACAGGGGTCTTTTAAGAGTATAACTTGGAATGGTTGCAATAGTTACAGTGTGGCTCCTGGTAGGGTGCTCAAATAAGGGACTTATCTTGAATCCTAACGCTCGCCTTCACTGCACATTAGGTTAGCTGAACTCGCCAAACAGAATGTTCCAGAACATACCCAGCACTGCAGGCAGCCTCGATGACGAGGTGCATCTGTTCGCTCACCATAATGAACCCTTGTTTTAAAGTCAGTGGATAAAACATGCGAACAATGCTTTGGAGTGTATCCTGAGATGAATAAATTATAAGGATTAGAAGAATTACCACTGTGTAGAGAGCTATTTGGATACATGCAGATACTCGGAATTGGTGCCGGTTGAGCGTGCTTGTTGCATTTGCAAAGCTGCATTACCTCAGTACTCAATTCCTTCTTGGGATGGCATAGAATTATCTTAATAATTCATATTTCTAATTCTGTGATATAATTGCTTCAATGTGAAACACTGGACAACATCTAATAATAGGAAATTATATTCCTCTTGCAAATAACTAGCATAATTTCTTCCCCCCCCAAAATTGCATGAGACGCATGACATTCAAGGAAATACTAAAATTTCCTTTAAGAGATACTGACAGAGAAATGCTCTCAAGTTTATGAAATTTAAATAGTGTCAAAAGGATGCCTAATCTATTATGTCTCATTCAACTTTGCCTATTTCTTTAGATGAGAGAAAAATGGATCACTTCTTCTTGAGATGTGAAAATCATTAATTTGTAACTTATTACCTCCACAAGAGTAAGAATCACTATTTCTGAACATTTTAGTGGTGGTGGTATTTTGTAACGTGTTGGGCACTTGCTATTTGACAGGTGATACTATTAATATTCTTTTGAAGCATAAATGAAAACAATTCCTCTCAAATTCCTTTTTTTCCCCTAATAGGGTATATTTCCATTTTTAAGAGGGCTCTGGTGGCCTAGTGGTGAAAATCAGTGCTGCAATCCCAAAAGCATATGGTTCAAATCCACCAGCTGCCAATCTCCTCATGGACAATAACTGCCTCTGAAAACCCACTGGCTGGTCAGACAAGAGTTGGTTCTGACTTCGTGGTACACAACAATATCATTCTTATTTTTCATATGTTTTACTTATGGTAATGACCTTATTTGACGTCTTAGGACTACTTACGATTATACTCAGCTAGAGTGTCTCTCTCTCTCTCTCTCTATATATATATATGTACAAAAAATATCTCATAGATAGGCATTGTCTACTTATTGTCATTAACAGATTGGATTCTGGCTGGAAGGAAGTCACATGTTTCACTATTCATGATATTATTTTGATGGAGTTAATTATCCTTGAAATTTCATCTTCATATATGACTAAAATGCATCTAAAACAATATATTTCTCATTAGGGAGCCCCAGCAGCTTAATGGTAAGAAGCTGCACTACAATCCCAAAGGGACTTGGTTCAAATTCACTAGCTGCTCCATGGGAGAAAGATGGACAATCTGCTTCTGTGAGATGAACCGGCTGGGGGGGTCCATTCTCACTTGATGGTACACTACAACTGTGGCCTGGTGGCCAATGAGGTGTGCTGCCAACCCAAAGGCATACTGTTTGAGTCCATCAGCTGCTCTGTGGGAGAAAGATGGGCAATCTCTTCCTATGCAATTCCTCATCTTAGCAAACTCGTTAGAGGGTTAGCTATGAGTCTATTCTGATTGACAGCACATAGTAACAACACCTTCTCATGAGATTATTTTGGTTAGTACGAAGTAACTTATGCATATGACTTGACACAGTGCTGGTTCTAGTTAATGCTCTAGTTAGTGTTGCTATTTAAAAAACCCAAAAAAAAAAACAACAAAGCACAACACATTACCATGTCATTGACTCAAAGCAACCCCAAAGAACAGAGCAGGGCTGCCTCAGGATTTCTAAGTCCATATTATGAAATTATGTTGTTGATCGCCTTTGAGTCAAGCACAACTCATAGCAACCCTATGAACAAAAGACTTGAAGCCTCTCAACAACTATCAACATTTGTCAAAGTTCATAGAGTTTCCAGAGAGGCATGGTGTTTAGGAATTGATTGCCACTCTTGCTTCCAACAACAACAACAATAAGAACAACAACTGCCCATAGGTTTTCCAAGGCTGTAAATTCTTACATAAGTGGATTGCCACATCTTTCTCCCGCAGAACAACTGATGGGTTTCAAACTTAAGATCTTTAGGTTACCAGCTGAGTGCTTGACCACCAGTAGGACTAGGGGCAGTTACTTCTACCCTATTCTGTAATGTTTCCGGGAGTCAGAATGGACTCAGTCCTAACGGGTGGGCGATTCATGACTTAGTGAACTCATTACACCCAGGGAGAAGCCCAACCCTTTCAGCTTGGAGAGGAGTTTAATTGCATGAACATATCTCATTCTGGTGGCTTAGTGGATACGGAGGAGTTGCGCTGCCAATCCAAAGGCAAATGTTGCAAAACTCCAGTTGCTTCAAGGGACAAAGGTGGGGAATTGTCTCCTAAGCAGTTTACAGCCTCCGAAAACCTGATGGATGGTCAGCTTGGAGTCAGCTCCCACTCGAAAGTCATGAGATGAGTATATGTAGATACCTAATGTGGACATTTAAGTACAGTAAAGAACTCTGGGCTTAGCATTGTAGAATAAGTATGAGTGACTGCACAAAGAGGAAGACTTGAAACAGAGGAAATCATTTTGTAAACAGCCTACAGGTATGAATATCTAACAGAAAACTCAGAGGTGTTCCTTCATCTGTTAAAGAATCATCCTAGATGTTCACATCTGAAAAGACATAAACCCAAAATCAAATGATTGCCTTTGATAAGAGACTTCTTTCACTGGCTACAGAAAAGTTACTTGTAGGCAAGTGTAAATACTTGTCTTAATCCTGTAGGACTCCATAGGACTTCTATTATTGCTAAGTCTGATTGTTGAAATAGGTCCTGAAGCATGAGAGTTCTTTCAAACAAATGAAGGAAAGATTTGTGTGTGTGTGTATGCTGACGTGTAAATTAGCCTAAAGATGGGTAGTCTCCTCCCATGCGGTTTACTGCTTCTGAAGACCGCCTGGAGGGTCAGCTATGAACCAGTTCTGACTTGATGATACATAGTAACAATAGAGTGAACAGAGTTGCTTATAAACAATCCCACTCATAATATTACAAAGCAATTTTCTGTGAATAGATTCATTGATGCTGACTAGTGTGTGTATATGAAAGGTATTAAATTAACTTAGTCACCTTCACCCAGAAATGCAAGAATTTTTTTGTGTGATTGCAATGCAGCTTTTTAGTACTAGGCCATCAGAGCTCCAACAGATCACCTCCACTCAGAGATGCAATCATTTCATTCAGTGGAAAGAAGGAACGCAACTATTTGCAATACCACATCTGCGATGTTTGGTTTATGGACCGAATCTGCAAGAGACACTCTTTTTAACAATTTTTTCAAATGCAACAATTATTTTGACATGGAATTTATCAAGCACCACTACCTATTTATATTTAAAATATCTGGAGGAATGTCAGCCTTCTGGGTGATTCCAACGCACGCTTACATCTGAGAACCATCCTTTGGAATCAAGGGAAAATATTGCATTTCACAGCTTACTTCTTATTCATAAAGAAAGCTTATACTGTCAAGCCCAAGTCAAGCTCAGTGCACGAGGCATTGGAGAAAGTGATTGAAATGATGAATGGGAAATCATTTTCCAAATAGCTCAAAACTGACTCTGCTTAAGATTTTGGTTTCAGTCATATTTTAATTTAATGCAGATGACCACAACCTGGATATTTTATCTAAAAGAAGAGGTTCAGTAGATAATTTAAAATATTTTTACGCCATTAAAATGCCTTAAGATATTCATATTAAAAAGGTGGAATTTTCACTGAGGTAATAGCATCTGAGCAAACTAATCTTCAAACAAGAGAAGAGAAAGAATAGCAGATTTATCTAAGAATGTGCGTGTCCACAGAGCTGATTATTCAAGCATCCTGCGTGTATAGCAAATGGACACTGGACATATTTCCCATTTGGAGTTGTTATAAAATTAGTTGATTTTAAAAGAATAATTAGACAGCTATTTGGTAGAAATAATAAGAGCTTTCTAAAGAGGACATACATATTTGCCGTCTATATAATTTACATATTGCATTTCTATTGCTAGAATTACAGCATAACAGAAAAATCCAAACAAAAAACTGTTTGATGATTATTTGTGGAGCCATTTTAAGGAAATGTGGAGGAAAATGGAAGAACGGGTAGGGTACATGGGGACTTGATGAGAAGGGATTACAAATGGCATAAATCAAGAATAATTCACTATCTGCATGTATTCAATGTATGAATTGATTCAATGTATGTGAATGATTGCAAATAACACAATATACATGCATGAAACACAATAATACACACACACACGCCATCAGACAAATAGCATATTCAGAATGCTGGGATGAAGGGTGAATTTCAGTGCCGTGCTCAGATTTCTATGAAGGCATACTCTTACTCTTTGAGACTATTGATTTGAAATCCAATAACTTTCTCAATACATGCAATTGGTTTTAAAGAGTTACAGGGCTTTATTCTAACTCTCAGATAACACAACCTTCCTTAAAGTGAAGAATGCTTTAAAGCACTCACTGAAGTATATCAAGG